CCATATATTTTATAGAATTATGATAAAAGAAAATAATAACAATAATTATTTAAAGATTAAGACTTATAAGTTATATAATGGGAATAAAGCAAACAAAACAAAAGAAAGAAATAGTTATTAGTAGATAATTTTAATGTAATTATCATTCTGATAAACTCCATGATAATTAGGGGGTCGACTGTGACGGTTCGCCTAGTACTCATTTTAGTTTTACGTCATATTTTGCATAAAATGGGCGATAAAAGGAAATAACAAGAAAAATGTACATATTAAAAATATTCACTTCAAAAATTATACATACATAGAATAAATTAGCATATATTCCGTTATTTAATGGACAAAATAATTGTAGTAGAAGCATCGTCTTATTTGATAAATAAAATACATAAAATAAGTTAGATGTAAAATAGTACAAAATACTAAATAAAATCAATATTGTGTATTTAGCTCTCAACACCAGAAAAAGGATAGTTCGCTATAACTATCTATAGATATTACATGTGTGTCAAAATAAAGCCATTAAAAACTGTTAAATGCATATATGTAAACATGTTTACTAGCAGAAAAGACAATAGGGCGGCATCCTTTTGTGTTCGTCAAAAAGAAGGCCGACAAACACACTATCTACAGATATTACACGTGTGTTAAAAACAAAACTATTAAGAACTGTTAAATATTTTTCTGTAAACATATTTACTAGCAAATAGGACAATAGAACGGCATCCTTTGTGTTTAACAAAAGAAAGCCGACATGCATACATAGGATGTTCCAATTTACTACGTTGTAAGAGATCATGATTTAAATAGATAAATAGAAAACGACTTCTAAGGAATTAATTGTATTGAAACATTAGTTCAGGTTTTGATAATAGAAAGGAATTTATTAGAATTTCATAAAAACACAGTATGTAAAATAATAGTATCAACAGAATGAGCGTTTATATATGAATACTAACGTTTATCTAATTATAATGATTTATTAAGTAAATTATAAATTACATTTTTATTTTATTACAGACTTTAATATTAATTACATATTATATATGTGTTTGCAATTTATTATAAAGTTATATCAACATTAAATTAATAAACAAGTAAATATATTATGTAAACTCGGTAAATGGTTATTTATAATTTATATAGGAAAAATATTTGAAAAACAAAATAAAATTTAGGATAAATAAAAGTGTTACAAAATAAATTTAAAAATCATCCTGTATAATTAGTGTGAACTGCATAAGAACGAAGTTCTCACGTTGAGTTATGTTTAGATATATATATATTTGGCAAGACCAAAATTGGTAGAATTGTGAGGAAGGATGAAGAATCAAAAGAAAGTTTAGTCGTCGGCGAGCTTCCGTAGGAGTAACAAGTGTATATTTAACTCTTTTACTATTCGTAAATAAGGAGATTTTAGTAAGTGATTTTAATACTTTAATATCCGTTCTTGTCAACATATTGGTAAGTCATTTTAATTCTTTCACTTTATTTATTGTGCTCATAATATACTGTATGTCTGTTATCATTTGACTGTATTATTGGGATATGTTAGATAAACTGCCAAGTTAATTAGGAAACGTACATGTGTTTATTTATTTTATGATTTGCGTGGAATTAATATGTTGACGAATACATTAATTTAGTTTAATTACTTATAATATAAAATTTAACGAGCATGGTTTATTTGTGTCTTTCTTATATTACGATAATAGTCTCAATTTGTACCTAAATCTGAGTTATATTGATTTATTTTCTTTAGTTAGGTTGAAAGGTTAGGAGTTTAATATTAAATGTGTATATTTACTCGTTAGATGCTAATGAATTTAATTGTGTCCTTTAACAGTTGTTGATAACTCTAATATTTTATATGAGAATTATATTAATAATAAATTTACTACGACTAAACTAAAAGTAAATTAAGGAAGTTATAGTAAAACCCTATTGTACTTATAATGATGGCTAATAATAGTTCAGTTACTTATCAAAATTAAATATTTCATTTACTTATTTCAACTATTTATTACTTATTTCAAATATTTCATTACTCACACTAAATGTCTTGCTATGTGGTGTTCTTTGTTTGGGATAGTAAATTACGTTTACTATTTCGAATATGTAGATATTGCATGGTTAATATTTAGTACATGTCTATATTACATTACACGAAAGATGTAGTGAGAGGAAGATCTTTGAGTCTTATATATATATTTTGCTGAAGGCTTTATTAGAAGGAGGCAAATGTTTGTATCGATGAATAAACTATTGAAGTAACATTTTCCAATAATTTATGATGATCAAATGTGAACCGTAAATCTCTATGGAGACTTTAGCAAGTAAGTGAAGTTATAATAAATAGGTTGTGGAAGTTTTTATGAGGAGGAGAGAGAGGCTCAGATCGATGAATCTATGATGAAGTCACATGTTCCATCAAATGAGGAGAGATGAGTCAAAGCTCGCAATGAAGGTTTTAGACCACGATCCCTGTGGAGATTTCTATAACCAGTAGGGACTTAACTTAATTGATAACACTGTGATTATCTAGGACACACACCCTAAGTTTTACCGTATGCATGTTGTATGGCTAGTGTATCAATATAGCGATATGTTGCTACTCTGGATATGCAGCATTGTGTGGGTAAAGTTTAGGACGCATTACATTTATTATATTACAACTTATTATACACTGCACAAATTAAATAGATAATTAATAGACGAATTAACCCATACAAAGATTATATACATTCCACAAAAGATGTCGCTTGGCGGGTTTCTGGTTACTGAAGGCTTCACTGGAAGGAGGAAAATACTTGTATCGATGATTGAACTATTGAAGTGACATTTTCCAATAGTTTTTGATGATATATTATGATCCGTAAATCTCTATGGAGGCTTTAGTAAGGAAATATAATTTCTGTAATAGTTGTGGAAGTTTTTATCAGGAGGAGAGAGAGGCTCAGTTCGATGAATCTATGATGAAGTCACATGTTCCATCATTTGAGGAGAGATGAGTCAAAGCTCGCAATGAAGGTTTTAGACCACGATCCCTGTGGAGATTTCTACAACCAATAGGGACTTCTGTTTAGTTGATAACTGAGTGGTTATCTAGGACACACACCCTAAGTTTTACTGTATGCATGTTGTATGGCTGGTGTATCAATATAGAGATATGTTGCTACTCTGGATATGCAGCATTGTGTGGGTAAAGTTTAGGACGCATTACATTTATTATATTACAACTTATTACACACTGCACAAATTAAATAAGTAATTAATAGACGAATTAACTATTGAATATTGTTTATATGAACCAGCTGAAGCAGTAGCAATTCGGCTCAGTATAACTTCCTTATAAATATAGAGATGTCTTTTACATTCTATAAATAGTGAAACTATCAAAATAATACAGAATTATCATATTGAATTTATACGAATACAACTATTAAAATACATCACATTGAAATTAGTAATGTTAAGTGCACTTATCTTTTCTATTGAATATATTCTACATGAGTAATGATTAGGGTTGTAATAAATTACGTTAACTATTAGGTGAAGATATGGATATTAAACAGTTAAGTGAAAATATATGTAATTGTGAATATTGTAGGGATTGGGGGGTTTATTAGTTGGGAATGGGAGGTTACCAGAAGTAGTGAAGGTGAGTGTTAATGCATTCTAAAAGGTACCTTTAAACCTACACCCGAGTCACAAGTCTCGGGCACCACTTGTGGTTCTCTCCCTGAACCATCTGTGACCGGCATCAGGACCTTTGTCGTCATCATAATCAGGAGTAATAATATAACTTTTGAAATTGTGATGAACCTTGCTTAACCTAACCTTCATAAATAGCTGCACTGTCAGATTATATTATAGATTTATGACATTGAAATTATGCGAATTATAATTCCATTATATTGGAATTATTAACATTACAGGTACTTAATCTTTCCGATATTTTATGTAATCGTATAATCTAGTAGTTAGGTAAGGTAGTGAATAATGTAGAATGTAGGTGTAGAAATAGTATTACAAATAGTATTATGGGAACCTAGACCTTTATTTTATTATCAACTCTCATTGGTCTTACGATCTCTATTAACGAATATATTTATTATAATCCACATTGCTACTTAATTAAAATAATCAACTATTTACCTTATATTACAATTATTATTTATACCTTATACTCTGTATAATAATTTGTATTATTTAGATTGTACTTAATTATGCAAATATTACTCCTTCATATACCAATCAAAGAATCTATAGTTACTACATACACAACGGGTCCACCGATACTAGACGATCACAATAATTTATTTATATGGCCAAATGATTAAAGATTAAGTGTTCCAATGCGTATTTGATCTATTATATTTAGGTGATCCTCCCATGTTTAGAGAGGGCATCGTAGATTCATTTCTTAGGAAAGGGGGAACGTTACATAGTCAAAATTTTTTTTAAATCTACCGCTTATTCGAAAAGCTGTCTCATCACAAGAAGAATAAGCAAGAAACTTGTGCGTTGCTCTTTTAAACAATCCTTGTAAGTTCACATTTTATAAGTCGAAACGTGTGAATACAAACTACCAACCAGCACTAATTTATTTAGGCTCAAATATAAAAACACAATTAGATTAAATCAGTCGTAGTGATAAGAGCAGACCAGTCCCTACAAGCAGCACTCGTTCACGAGTATGACGGATGAGCCAGCCATCACTGCGCTCGACCATATTTTAGGGAGCCCAATGACCCGGCCCACCACGCCGCCACATGTTTGGACATTTTAGCGAGCATGACTACTCCTTCCACTCGACCACGTCACAGCTACAAAAATTACTATATGGTAGTTACAGTATTCGCACTTTACATGAGGATGCATGCGGCAATCAATACAAAAGCCGCTACGCTATCATATATAGAAGAAAGCAGTATGAAAAATTAATTATAACGTTGTCCGCAAACGAGTCGAGGGTAAGACCTAGTATTTAGATACAATACCTTAGTTTTAAGTGATCTCTCATCATCGAATCCAACCCACTGGTCCTCTCTGTACGCGAATGGCACCATTTGCTCATTATCCCATACCAGCGTAGTGTTGTCTTCCCTCAAGAATTCGCAGATTTCATAGTACGACATAAAGCCAGCCTCGTTAGTGAATCTACCAGCTTGACCTGCAATAAAATGTGATTCTTTAATAGACTTCCAAAAAAATGTTGTTACCTTAGAACTGACGTGACGGTTTTTTTGGTTTAGCGGTTTAGAACACCGTTTCCTTCCGATGGTCGCGGGTTCGAAGCGCCCGGTACATACATTTGTATTCATTAATATGATTGCATATATTGATTTGGGTGTTGTCTACGTATACACACAAAAAAAGTCGGTTTATAATATAATAATAATATATATCCCAGGACAATTCTGCTTGAGAGCTTTTGTTATGGATACTAGACATTCAAATTCTTAGATAAGAAGATACAACTTGTTAATCCATACATATAAATAAAATTGGATTGTCTGTTTGTAATATTGAAATAGCCGTTTTTTTCTACATGCATTCCACGCGGACGAAGTCGGGTGCAGCTAGTAATATATATTTTTGTACATAATATACATAGCAAATACCCAGTCCAATACAAACAATCACACTTACGAGTACATATAATTACCATGAAAATCATAGTGGTGTACTAGACTGCCGGGCCTCCGGAGGACGTCTAGCCATAGCAGCAAGTAAATATACGGTAGATAGGAATGGTAGATATGGTTTTATACTTACCACCACCAGAAGCCGGTGCTCCGATGTCGAATTGCGTATCGTTGATGAGCGTGAAAGATCTGCCGTACGTTGGCATACCGATCATCAGCTTCTCCTTAGGAGCACCTTGGCGGACCCACTCTCGAGCAGAGTAATCCTGTTACAAACGTGAAAAAATTACCAAAGGTACGCTAATAATACACTATTACCAATAAAATTTAAAACTATTTATGCACTATGATATTTAATAGGTAGCTAGAAAAAAAATCCCCGGTGTGGAGCGCCCGAGAGCCCGGACACCGTTTAGTTGTACTGGATAGTATGGCTGAGGTCAACGACTTTGCCAGCGAGGACGGTGTCGTGTGTTTATATGATAGTGTGGTAGGAATGGAAAGTGCGTAGCTAGAGGAAGATTAGCTGCGTTATGGAGACGTCGGCACGAGTTTCGCGCATGGATAGTTATATGTCGCGAGTTCGGTTTATCATGTATATATTTAGACACCGCAATTTTTTTTATTATATTGTAATGTCATAATTTTTCTTGAGTTATTGAACTTGACATCTTACATAATTTAATTTAATTTAATAAGCTAATAGAATCATATATTTTTTTAATCAATTCAAATCCAAAATTTGAATAAATAAACCAACTTTTAGAACCTCAAATACGACGTTCGCCTTTCGGCTATCAATTAACTTACCACTGTGAGTTTCTTCTGGTAGCTGGTGGCACTTTCGAGCGGGAAGAGAGGACTATTGTGGCCGACCTGCCGCTCCCATTGTCCGTGGAAATCATATGTCATCACGTTGATGAAGTCCTGCAAACAACAAATATTTTGAGAACACGTTTTGACGACCTCGGTGGTCTAAATTTGACACAACCTTACATCCCGTCGCGGGTTCGATTCCTCGCACGGTACATTCGTATTTCTTGTTTATGGTTATTTGTCAAATATGAATATGGAATGGTGGCCCCGTCTGCGTTGTGGTTTACGCAGGCAGGGCACCAGTGGGGGATGATAAGATGGACATGAGCTCAGGCCTGTGAGCCCATAGTGGCAAATTCATCAGGAACTTATAATTATAGTTTTTAAAGGTAACCGCGTGGATGTCAACTTGACATGGTACATTGCTAGCAATGGGGTTCATCAGTCCACATTACTAACAATCCTCTTTCTCCTTATCTATGTATATTATGTATGTATTTACAGAACAATATCTATTTATTAATATCAATTATCTAGAATCCATTAGACGGACTCTGCTCAACTTGGGACTGGATGGTGTTGTGTGAATTCTCCAGTAGTATTATTATTTTTATTTATTTCTGTAGATGAGTGTTATTTATTTAATCTTTATTGCACCAAAAGTAAATTAGAAAGAACATAAACAGAAGTATTAAGGTAGAAAAGGCGGTCTTATCGCATTACCAATCTCTTCCAGAGAACCTTTGGAAGAATTCTTATTCTCTCCTCTAGGAGAGAATACAGAAAGTGTATAGTAATGTATGTACATATATTATTAGAGAGACCATATATTTGATCGGAATACAACGAGATCTTTATATAAAAAAATACATACCAAATATTTAGATATCTCGGGCACATCATAACCAGCTGCTATGGCTTCAAAGGATGCTGGTACAGCAGCAGTTAGGAGCAACCTCGGCTGGCCGGATGACTTGGCTTCACCTTCGAAGGCCAGACGCAGTTCTTTCAGGAGTGAAACATAGGCTGCTCGGTCGTCAGCTCCTCTGTAAGTAAATGTTTTATAGATTATAGATCAACTTCTTAGCATTCAATGGCATCACTATCCGGGTGCTGGGTATACTGAGTGGCAAAGAGGGAAATTCCGGGCAGTTCCTGGGACTGCGTGTAGGTTTAAGGAGGCCCTTTGTTCCCACCTCCACCGCTTTTATCATCGAAATTTATGTAGTAGCTGTTCCCGCGACTTCGTCCGTGTGGAATTTAACTTTATTTTTCTAAAATAAAAGTTACTCCTTATTGTATCACCTACGTGCCAAAAAAAGTCCCATCAAATTGGGTCCAGTCATTTCAGAGATTAGCCGGAACAAACAGACAGACAAAAATTAAAAAAAAATGTTTTTTACCGTATTTATAATAATATGCATGTAGTAAAAAACGGATATTTCTATATTACCAACAGACACTACAATTTTATTTATATGTATAGATTAATTCTATTTTACGAGTCAAAAAACGGTTTTGTTAAATGTCTATGTGTATTTATTTACACTAGAGGTCGAAATTCGGCCTAAATGATTCAGTTCAGTAATACTATAGACAAATAACATTAAGAATAGGACAATATTAATCTATTTTCAAGACCTCTGTGGTAAAATTGGCATTAACAATAAACAAAAGAGTATATATGTGAATGTGTATTAAATACATAATAATGTGATAACATTCTACACTCATTCTATAAAAATTAGAAATGCGCGAAATTTCGTAGTCTTCCATCGTACCGTAAGGCTTTTTAGCACAAATCTTTAAATAAACGAAATACATTCAAGAATTGCCGAGTATTTTATTGTACTCCTTACCTGGGGTACTCCCAATCCACGTCGAGACCGTTAAATTGGTAGTCCCTGAGGAACTCGATGGCTTCATAAACGAACTGATTCATTCTGAACACGTTGGAGGTAAGCTCCTTGAAAGGCGTGGAGCCAAACGCCCATCCGCCGATAGCTAGCAGGATCTGCAAATATAAAGAATTGTAAATCTTTGTAACATATAATATACATATATGTTGATCTTAATATAATATATAAAAAATTCGTGACACATTATTTGTCCGCGATGGAATCCTAAACCGATATTGATGAAATTTTATATGTATACTCGGCAGGTCTGAGAATAGGTTGTCATCTATTTTTCATACTCCTAAACGAAAAGGGTGGTTTACCACAAAAACATTTTTTTTTGTTTGACATAACTGACTGCATTTTACTTTATTCACATTCATAAAGAAATACATACAGCTGTAAATTTTCACCCTTCTATCATGAACCCCTATTTTTTTAAAAGCGATATTGGTTTATATGGTAATACTAGCTTTTGTCCGCTTTGCTCGCGTAGTAGTAAATATTATTATTAATTAGGTGTAGTTTTTGCGGCTTTACTTTTGTTTAGGGTATGTAAAAAATTAGGGCCTACAAAATCTAAGAAGATTTATATAAACTTTCATCCCCTATTTTATCCCCTTGGGGGTAGAATTAATCAAAATCCTTTCTTAGCGGATGCCTATGTCATAACATCTACCTGCATGCCAAATTTCAGCCCGATCTGTCCAGTGGTTTGGGCTGTGCGTTGATAGTTCACTATGTCAGTTACCTTTGAGTTATATATATTTATATAACGTTTGCCGGGTCAGATAGTATATATTACAAATATGAGATATAGAAATAATATTTATTCAAATAAATTAATATAAGCACTTCTGAACATACTTTTTTTTATTCTACCATTCATTGGGATATACACTTTATTACACTTTTAGATTCAGTAATAATACTGATAGTCTGCGAGCCAGAGGCTTTTTTATTAACAGTTCGAAAACTTCTAAGATGATTAAGAAAGTTGTATTGTGAAGCCTAGTGAAAATCAGCTGCGGTTCCGAGGGTGGGTTGAGGAGTTCGCTGAAATAAGTAAAACAGAAGTACCCACGCAATCAACTTTGTATTAAAGTCTACTTATGGGACTCGTAGGTACATTGAAATATCGTTGTCTGTCTGTTTATACCATTACAAATTGAATTTGAGTTTTATTAATTTATTTTTATATGTAAATAGCCAGAAAACGGTTATGTGTTACGTAAATTTCAATGTATTATAAGGAAAATATAATTATAATAACAATAATCTCAGGACAATTCACACAGCGCCATCTAGTCCCAAGTTAAGCTACTTAAAGCTTGTGTTGTGGGTACTAGATAACTGAAAAATATATAGATATTTTTTTCGTATACTCATACTCATGAATACAAATGTTTGCGCCGTGCGAGGAATCGAACCCGCGACCTTCGGAAGTAAGGCGGTGTGATAACCGCTAGACCACCGAGACCGTCAAAATTTACTTATCTGAATCTGATGATGATGATAAAGCTTATTTGGTACTCTCCATATTTCGACTAGGTTCCACTAGCCGCAGTTGCTAGTCACATCGTAGATCTGTTCTAACCTACTTATTACCAATCTAGCTTTCTTAATCATTCCCTCACTGCTGAGGATCGACTCTATTTTCATCTTGTCGACCAGCTGTCCCCATCGGTTGTCGCAGACGCCTGATGTATAGCGGCGCTGACAGTTATATTCAGCTGACTGGATATCTGGTCTGACCAGATATCCAGATATAGAATGGGACTTCTGTCTCCAGCTCTTTTACCCTCTATCTTCCCTGTTACACGTCATCTATTAACGAAATCTATTTCCTTAATATCCCTTTTGGGGGAAAGGGGATTGTTAGTAATGTGGACTAATGACCCATTACTAGCAATGCACCATGTCAGGTTGACCTCCAAGCGGTTCCCCCTGGAAACCATCGTGATAATTCTTGGTGAATTTGTCACGATGGGCTAACTGACCTGACCTCATGTTCATCTTATTATCCTCTACTGGTGCCCCGTTAGCGTAAACCATTAGCGCAGGCGGGTGTACCATTCCATAAAATTTATCATCCATAAAAAAAAATATCCCGATTTAGAATTAGCGATGTATTTTTTAAGCCTTTTAGTGGTTTTCTATACGAGATCGTGACTTATCTGGTAGAGCCTTAATTTTCAATTTTATTTTATTATATTGACAAAATAGAACCGGTGAAGTGTGAGTCGAGCTCGCGGAGGGTATAACGACACTTTTTCTTGACGGCCTCGGTGGTCTAGCGGTTGAGCACACGGCTTTACTTCTGATGATCGCGGGTTCGATTTCTTGCACGGTGCAAATATTTGTATTTATGAGTATGATTGTTTGTATCGGTCTAAGTATTTTCTATGTATATTATGTATTTTTTTATTTTTTTATTGGATTGTTTGAACTATTGTCAGATGTGTAGCACCTGTAGCACTGCGACCTACATAGATCTATTGTGCTCGCCCTTTTCAGAGTTCGCTACCTAGACCCGTCAGGGACAAGAATTGAAGGATATTCTTAGGAGCGATCGTTTTTATTTCCTCGGGAAAGAGTGTAAACTTTCCAAAGGAGATATTTCGTTTATGCATGAGTGGGCTACAACCACATAGGATGTGAAGCGGCGTTTCCTCTTCAGTTTGACAGAATCTGCAGATACTTGTCGTGCGTAGGCCTAGTTTAGCCATATGCTTGTTTAATTTGCAGTGTCCTGTGAGGGCCCTAGTCATCATGCATATGTTGTTTTTACTCAATAGCAGTAGTCTATTGGAGTATTTGTCCGAGAAGCCCGATATTAGGTCTTATTAGGCTATTATGTATGTACCTATTTACAAAATATAAGTATTTGTATAAGTTTGTAGTACCCATATTCTATATATATATATATATTATGTATGTATTTACAAAAATATATCTAAGTATTTATATCAGTTGTTCAGTACTCATAACAGAAGCTCTGCTTACCGTGGGACTAGATGGCGCTATGATAATTGTCCAGGGTTATTTATTTATAAAAAAAATGGTAATTACCTTCAAATTCGGGTTTTTTTCTCTCAAAGCCACAACTTTATCGTACATATCGGCATCCTTTTCGTCGCTTTCGGTCAGTTTGTGGTCTTTGAGTGTTGCGAATGCGTAGATCACGTGGGTACATAGAGTTGGGTCCACGTTTTCTGGTGTGAACCGACCGGCGCTGGGTCTCTTCGAAGACCACGACGTCAAGTAGCAAAGGACTTGAGGCTCGCGCTCTGGAAAATGCAAATATACATTTATAATAATAATAAATTGATCAGGATCAGCTCAGGATTTGTCTCCTTTGTTATTGTTTTTCATAATTTTATACATAATTGTGTATTTTTTGTGAGAGGAACAATAAAGAGTTTCATTCATTCCACCACCTCGGTGGTCTAGCGGTCTAGCACTTCGCTTTACGACCGATGGTCGCGGGTTCGATTACTCGCACGACACAAACATTTGTATTCATGAGTATGATTGTTTGTATCAGTCTGGATGTTTTATATGTATAATATGTATGTATTTACGAAAAAAAAATCTATGTACTTGTATCAGTTATCTAGTACCCATAAGACAAGCTTTAGATAGCTTAACTTGGAACTAGATGGCGCTGTGTGAATTGTCCTGAGATTATTATTATTATTATCTTAAACTTTCTTAAAATACGTATTTAATAAGTTTAATAATGTAAAAAAAAAATCTACGAAGTCTGAATAAAATTAGAAAGTAATTTTTCCTATGAAATATCAATTCGTGAAATTAGAAACCATAAATCATCCAATCAAATCACATTTAGTATTGTATAAGATTCGATATTGAATATCGGAATCGAATATTTTAATTTAAAACACGTCACTCAAAAATATGATTGTTCAATATCCAATATTTCCATACCTCTGACAATTGAGTGATTAATCACTAAGTAGACAGAGTAAAATATTGTAAATCATCTGTTAGAACTCAAAACTCAACTTAAAACTTTGTCACACCAATAAAAAACTTCTAAAAGTTCCCCGTGGAGATCTTACGAAAATCTTTCCCACACTGTTTAACATTGAAAACATGTTATTTATTACCAAGGCATTACTTGAGAGCGCATAAAACTCGGAAGGACCTACTTGTTAAGATTGTCGCGGGATGCTGCGTCATAAACTTGATGGCATTAAATCACAAACCCCATTTACCGAACCTGACCAATCTGCAAGAGCTCTCAGGCCCATTTTCGTGTCTGCAATTTATAGGCAGGTGGGAACCCGCGACATATCCGCGAGGGCTCTGATGTAACTGGTGGTGGAAAGGCTTCAACGTAAAAGCACTCCATGTTTCAAACTTTTAGCAACTATGTCGCGAATTGTCGACTTTAGGAAGCCATTCTTGGCAGCTGGGAAGAACAGAGTACCTAAAAGTGACCCTTGTGATACTCCGTTCGAGATTTGTAGCTTTTAGTGCCGTATACACAGATATTGTAAGAACGTATTAGAAAGGACGTTAAATGGTTATGTCTATCGTCAATATTGGAAATAACATAAAACATCTCAGAAGGAAACCTACAAATGTATCTATAACCTTGTTAAATATATTTTTTACTAATGAATATTGTCATCGCCATCTTTCGAAATTTAACACAATCACTAGTATTCATAAAGATTTACAAAATATAAGTAATTGGTCTCATAACTTTGGTATCTCAGTTAATCCAACAAAATGTCAAGCAATTATTGTGGGGAGTTCAAATCAGATAGCCAAAATTGACTTAAGTACTGTTGCACCTGTCATATTCGAAAATTCAGTTATTCCATTTAGTCAAAGCGTTAAAAATCTCGGTCTTTACATAGATACTACACTTAGTTGGAACTCACAGATTCTGCATATTAGTCGCACAGTTACATCATCTTTGCGTTTTCTAAACCGTTTTAGAAATTTTCTTCCTTTAAAAACTAAGATTACTCTTGTTCAGTCTCTCATTCTTCCTATAATTGATTATGCCGATGTGTGTTATCCTGATCTCAATGAAGATCTTCTCAATAAGTTAGACCGGCTCATGAATAAATCTATTCGCTTCATTTTCAACCTTCGTAAATATGATCACATCTCTTTGCACCGTTCTCAACTTAAATGGCTCCCTATACGTCAGCGTAGGCAAAAGCGGTTACTTTGCACTCTTTTCTCAATTCTTTTTGATCCTGCTTCCCCGGAATATTTGAAATGCAAATTTCAATATCTCCGGGACTCTCATGACCGCCAACTACGTTCTAAAGACTCTCTTTTACTTCAAACTCCTCTTTATAAAACTAATTTTGTATCTTACTCTTTTGGTCTACAATCTTCACGGCTCTGGAACTCACTCCCTGAACGCATTCAAACTATCTCCAATAAGTATACTTTTAAAAAAAATGTTCATGCTCATCTTCTAAGTTTATTGTCATAGAACAAGTAATGTATTCATCATATTGAATGTATGTATATATATTATGTATTGTATGTATGTTGTGTATATATGTTATAATATTCGTGTGTATTCTATTCTTGTTTAGTTGTAGTTTAGTCTAATGTTTGTATATACGTTATTTATATAATTAATGTTAAGCCACCATCAAGTATTTCTGCACTTCCTGAAGGTTGACTGGTAGAGAATGCCTATAGCATTAAGTCCGCCGTTTGTACCATAATTTATTGGTCAATAAAGTTTAAATAAATAAATAAATAAATCACTCATACCTACACACACATTCCTTTGTCCCTTCCCGCGTCATTGTCTTTTCGAAATATTGTAATATATTTCATTTCAAACGCCGCAACACCTCTCGGCCCTTCAATTACTACATTTTCAGTACATAGGTACATAGTACTATGATAACTTATCATAATCAGAAATTGCACTTAAACTTAATAATGTAAAGTAATAATAAAATTATTTAAAAGAGCAACACGCAAGTTTCTTGCTCGTTCTTCTTGTGATGAGACAGCTTTCCGAATGAGCGGTAGATTAAAAAATGTAATGACAAAAGTGCTTCAATGTAAGTTTATTTGAATAAATGATTTCTATTCTATTCTATTCTATTCTATTCTACACTTGTACGCTATGGCATTTGTCCATAAACAGTAGCATTAGAAGAATATCTAAATCAGAATATCTAAATATATAATTTAGATATCTTTCTCTAAACCGCACAAGTCATTATAATAACTTGTGTATTGTAGTATAACCCTAGAGACATCAGAATAGACCGTTAGTTCAAATACATACAAAGGCTACGTTAAAAATATTTTATGCTTTTATTTTCTAAATACATATTTGATAGTTTCGTTGTGAGCAATAAATTAATAAAACAAATGGGAAAATGGTCAATAAATTTAAACATATTGAGAGATATTGAATGCAGTACGTAATCCCTAAAATTTAATATGACTAGTATTTGAAACAATATATACTGCTGTATCCGATATTTTATCTATTTGGTTAACTTTTAAACTTTTATAGATTATGTATTATTCTGATGTATAAGCTACTGTAAAGTAAAGTTTCATCAAAATTCATTCAATAGTTTTTGCATGAAAGATAACCACTTTCGCGTTTATAATTTTAGTACGTATATTATCTGTGATGTGATATTAGTAAGAAGATTCTAGTTGATATTAGTTTTTCAGTTATTATTATGTTATATATATATATTTATATATAATGATTTTTTTACGTTGTTGTTCTTGTTAACATTTATGTACAAGCTTCTACTTCCACCACTCCACAGTACCTTTCAGTTGACTGGAAGAAAACCGTCATTTGGGATAAATCCGTCATTTAATTATTCAATTTATCTCTTAAAATCATCGTATCGATTCTGTTTAAATGTTTTTACTGTACAATAAACAATACAAATAAAACAAACTCAATCGAAATACTAACTGTTCTTATCAAGAAGTGCAGCAGCGTTATTATTCCTGATGATGACGTTCTTGGTAGGTTTCTTCACTTTGCTAAGCACGTCCGAAAGGCTGATCTTGATCGGTTGAGGTTTCTCGGTGACTTCAATGACTGCGCTGGATGCTACTTCGGACCAGTCCACGTCCTTTGCGTCTTTGCCTCGTGAAATGCCGCGGAGTTCCTCTCTGTGTGTCATTACATTATAATTATTAATATTGTATTACTCAATACAAGACTCAATGCTCCGTTTCCCTAAGCTTGCCTAGAAAAGATTACTTTCAGTAATAAGGCCGCCTTATTGTAATAATACATGTGTCCTTTGATATATTTTTTGTGCTTTTTCTTTACTGTGTGTTGCAAATAAAGTATATTCTATCTATCTACAAACACTTTTGAATAGTCATATTTTTTATTCTACCACTTATTCGGAACGCAAATTCAACACAAGAAGAATGATCAATAAACTTGTGTGTTGCTCTTTTAAATAGATGTTATTTAAAATAAATAATTACACAATAACAAGTAAGAGGCATGCGATAATTAACATAGAAACTGCTACACACTCATGCTTAAGTTAGATAATTAGTCCACAGATAATATTGTCAGTGCTATGAATTTTTTTTTCTACAAAAATAATATCGTTTACCAACTCTTCAACCTATGTCTAACGTTCTACATTAAATGAAAAGCCGTACGTGAACAACTATTGCCATGCACGCTCGTCATTCAAGTACTCGTTTAGTAAGTGAGATATAGACTTTGCTCAGTAAATATGATTTTGAATTTAGTTTGGGGTAATTACAGTATATCCTTTGGTATCTTATTGTACATTTTTACACCCGTTCCCATAAAAGAGCAATTGACTTTTTCTAAACGATACTGAAACAGCAAGTTTGTCTTTAAATTTTACTCTTGGACCCATTTGTAAATTAAATATATTCCGCTTTAGTCACAAATGTCACTTTTTTTAAACAATACTTACCGCATAGCTCCAATGAGTGGGTACTTCACATCACCTCCACAGACGCTGCCGCTGAAGTCGTCCATGTCTACCGTCCACACCATGGCTCCACCGAATCCATTGTCCTTGACCCATCTGCAAACATACAAGCAATATCATCGATTAAATAGAATAATGACATTTTTCGAAATTAGAAGCTAGAATTGCCTCCTTTTATGTAAGTCAATTAAATTAACCACGCCGTCTTACTTTACTTTTAAAATGATATATAATATTTCTTTGTAAATTTTTGTTAAAACTTCAAAATCAGAAATTCACTTTTCGAACATTCACAATATTATATACGTAAAGAACTTACCTCATTTTATTCCTAATAGATTTTTCGTCGTCGAAACCAACCCACTTGTCTTGTAAAAAACTTTCAAACATTTTGAATCGCAAACCTTGTACAAGCATTTTTTCATTAATTTTTAACACAAATATATATATATAAATATTAATATAATTATATATATATACGAGAAGTAATTGTAAAATCAGATGAAGTCGAGGAATATATTTATATTTGATATATTTTTTTAATACTTCATATGTATACAGGCAGTAAATATTATTGACTAGCTGTGTCCGCGACTTCGTTTGCGGAAGCCCTCAAATATCAATAACTTTCCTCGTTTTTGTAACATTTTTCACTGTTGTTTCGCTTCTATTGGTTGTAGCGTAATGTTATATATCTTAAAACCTTCCTCGACAAATGGACTATCTGACATAAAAATAATGTTTCAGTTTCAATTACAACAAGTAGTTTCTAAGATTAGGGTATTCAAACAAACAAACTCTTCAGCTTCTCAAAAGACAGATGTCTCCCAAATTTTTATACAAATTAGCTGCTAACAAAATTATATATTGAATAAAAAATTAAATAAAATATCGTTAATTTATAAACGTTAAACAAACTGACATATACAATATTTATTTATTCCATTAAATTAATAATTCATACATATAAAAAATATAGAACTTTATAGAAGTCAGCTATCAGCTTATTTGCCATTCAAACTGTAAAAACAAATATGATTAAATTATTAATGTTAAACAAACTGAATTATATAGCTGTATTTTAGTCAAATATATAATAATTTATCATCATCATCATCATCGCAGCCCGGAAGACGTCCACTGCTGGACATAGGCCTCCCCCAAAGATCTCCACGACGATCGGTCCTGCGCTGCTCGCAATAATAATTTATACACATAAAATATGATAAATTAAATACTAATATATAAAGAACTGCATCCGCTCCGCCTATATCGATTTTCATATTTTCTTTTGCACTTGGTAGATTATTTTAAAAATTGTAAAATAAAAACAATGTTTGCGGTGCAGTTATTGGTGTAAAATATTTTTTTATAACTACGTAGATACAAACAAGGATAACATAAAAATAATTTACGACGAATAATTGGATGGTTTTTGATATTAAAAATTTTATTATACATCCCGTGTAAAAAAATATATTGCGTCAAAAATGTTTTATTACATAAATAAAAAAAACCTTCTGTCAAAGTGCATCAAGCTATCGACAAAAATGTATATTATAAATAGTAACTCTGTTGTCTGTCTATATTCTGTCAACTGTCACTCGGTGAACTATTATGAAATTTGGTACCCATATAGTCTAGACGCCAGGACATATATTTTTATGCGAAAAAAACAGAGAGAAAAGTAATGCAAGGTTATCTTTATGCGGTTGAATACACACTTATTACAATAATGGCTTACGTAAAAAATTAGATATTTTGGAAAGTCTACTTTATAATTGTGTCATTAAGTCTATTTTCAAAAATTTTTAATTTCTGAATTACACCAGTATTGTACTAGATATGCGACTTATTAACGCTCATATGTCATAAATAAACATATATGTCATTTGTATAAGCATTTTGTTGCGCGCGCAACTGATTATTGTCAATCCGTTGTCTCCTTATGAATTTAAATGAATAAACGTTTGCTCTGCAATTTTATTTTATAAATACATAAATATAATCCTGGTATAGCCTATAACTGATGACCCTGCTCTTGGACAAGAGCGTAAGAACATATTATTAATATTTTTGAAGAATAAAACAACATATAATATTAAAAATGTTGTCAATACATATGAACAACATTTCCTGGAAGAAACAACATCGTTCCAAGCTATTCAGGTTCGGAATTCGCGTTTCTCCATTCTCAGTAGAGTCAGAGATATGGTTCGCGCAAGTAGAGGGATAGTTATATATATATCTATTATTTTGATTTAACAAAATTTTATTATGTTATTGGCCAACTGGACTACCAATTTTCAAAAGAATTTAAAGAAATGTTTAAACTGTTTATTAAATATAAATAAATATGACATTTAAATTTGTAAATATCACATTGTCACCATTCAAGGGGTAAAATAAAATAGCAGATAAAAGTTTTTATGGAAATTCGTCATATTTGACCTAGAACGATGACTTTTTTCTTAACTTTTTTGGGTCAGTTTATTTAATAAATACCTTACTAATATTATGAAAGTGAAAATGACTCTGTCTGTCTGTCTTAAAAGCCAAAACTTCTGAACTGATTTAAATGAAATTTAAACACACATAGGACATAGGTTACTTTTTAATGCTAAAAAGGGTTATAAGAGACTGAAAGATGAATTTTTTTAAAGTTTAAGCTTCAATCTTATTTTTTTGCGTAACAACATATAATTAACGTTGTAAGGGTCAAAAGGGGAGTTAAAATGTTGTATGCATGTATTGTCATTTTTTAAAGCGCGAAACCCATTTTTTAGGCTGTTGAGAAAATATCAGTACCTACCGCCACAGGACTCAGCCATAAATGGTTACAGTATAGCGACATCTTATCATTGGTACATGATGACACTAATATAAGTAGCATTAAAAAAAACAAGAAAAAGGGTTATAAGGGGTTGAAAGGGGAGATGTAATGTATGTATGGTATGTATGGAAGTATCTTCATTTTAAAGATAGTAGTTTGAAACTTAGTTTTTGGCTGTTGATTGAATTGTATGGAATGATCCGAAATTTCATTTTTGAAGCTAGAACGATGAAACTTTTTTATTGGGTTAGATTATTAATATATATTTTTATTATTTGCTCAAGGTCACTATTTTACGCGGACGGAGTAAGTCCTTCTAGTGAAGAAATTTGCAAAAATGCCAAAATTTTGCACTTTAGAAAACATAAAATTCCAGCATAAAATAGAGGTATGCGTATTTGCATTTATTCGCTTTACAATTATCCCGCTCATAAAGTCATAATTGTATTTACGTAAATTTTAAAAAAAGATTTACAAAAAAATGTTTAACGCAAATATACTTAAATACTTGTTCCTATATCTTACAATCTAGGACTATTGTGTAATTCTAATTACTTACTTCTTCTACGAAACTTTTAGCTGATAGTTTATGTGTGATTATTGTTACATACTTTTCCCCAGCAAAACTTCACAATGCGTAAAGTGTAGTTTAGTTCTTCTTTATTACAATAGCATTTTTCATACCTGATGTTGGGTAATTTTAAATACAGCTGTATTTACAAGAAGAAAAAAATAAGAATATGTTCATGTAATTAAAATTAAGTAAAAAATAAACTATTTTTAGCTAATTGTATAAGCTGACGTCGTCACCAATGATGGATGATAGGAGGAGCAGGAGATCAGATGCATTTGCCAGGAATAGTAATAATAAATGATACATGACAATGACAATGATTACATGACATTTACCATAAATTGATAGAAGTGTATATAAAAACAATTAAAAAGAAACTTCTACAAATATATATATACAATTGCCAGTGAATCTTAAATAGGTCTAACAGGAATTCAAACGATGGTTTCGGATGGACCGACGTGGAACTAAATGTACCTTATATTGCGAGCAATAATATTCAATATTAATTCTGGTCATAATAGGTACACATACAATATATGGTTACGTTACTTTGTTATATTACTAGCTGTGTTTAAATTTCAATAAAAAATATATCCTGTGTTATTCAGATGCATAAACTATATTAGTGTAAAGTTTCGTAAAAATCTATTCAGTAGTTTTTGCGTGAAAGAGCAACAAAGATCCATACTTACAAACTTTACGTTTAGAATATTATATTAAGATTAAGATTTCTGAAAACTATTTTAATCATCATAATTTCAACTTTTGTCTATCCACAGTTGGATATAGGCCTGTCCCAATTTGGCTTTGGTATATAGCGGTTAAGCACACCGATTTACTTCCAGTGGTCGGGACGAAATGGACGGTGCAGATATTTGTATTCATGAAAATTGTTTGTGTAATGGGAGTTTTCTATGTATATTCAAATTTGATATTTTACTTCAAAATTGGATAACTTCTTCAAAAAAATTCAAGTCCGATTTATATCCAAAACCCGTCCTAATGGTTTTTTAGTAAAGGGATCAATAAAACTCTACCAAATGTCAAAAGTGCATGAAGAGCAATGGACCATATTATGATTAAATAAATATATTATAAAAAAATCAACTGAAATTGGCGTTTTGTTAATTTACTCCCTTACAAACATATGTTACCTAATATATTTACTACATAGTAAAATTAAAGAGATTTCGGCAGATCCTCAATGTCCGGGGAAATTCCAAATAAAATACGCATTCGCTGATGAGACACCAAATAAAAAATAGAAGGGGAAGACTTATGAGAAAAAAGAGCTGCACACAGCGAGCCTTCTGAAATCAAGCATTAGTATGATGCACCGCCGATTCTAAAATATATACAAAACTTGATGAATCTATATAAAGATAAAAACATACCAAATATCAGACGTTTTAATGAACTTAAGTACTAAATCTAAGACTAAACTGAATTATCCGATTAGTTGAGGATAATGAACATTAATAAAAATAATAAAAATATCACTATTTTGAACATTTTTTGATTAGTTGATTATAGGCAATAAACATTTCTTTAAAAATAATAATAAATTAATAATAACCCTGTTTGTTTTCATATTCTCTAAATAATTTTCGCCTCTATATTTATTCTTTTGACTTACATGCACGCACATAATAGACTATTTACTGTAAGAAGATGTATTACATGGTACAAATTAAATATTCAGTTACTTTCCGCATTATAAAAGCTATTTTTATAAATACACTAACTAAACTAAAATAAATGGCTTAGAAATACTAATATATAAAAAATTATATTTCGTTAAATAACAACGCCTAATTATACTTGCATTTTCATATTTTTGAAATATAGGAGAGTATAAAGACGTAAGTAGAGTTAAATTTGTTCATATATTTCAAAATACATAACAATAAAAAATAATTGTAGTTGCGGTGCAAATGTTCTTTGTGTTTCGTGGAATACAGAATACCGTTTTTTTTTAGATTATCTGGAAGTACATGAAGCTGTTCCTAAATTAAATGACATAATAGTTGAAGGCAACTGTGACCTACGATTTTCTCTATGAAACTTATTTCTAGAACTCATACAAAAAATATAGGACAGTTTTTTTAAGCTCCTGAAAAATTGGTGAAAATCATTACAAAACCAACAATTACGTTACTTCGTCTGCGAATTAAAATCAATAAAATTAACTAAACTAAAATAAAATAGCTTAAGCTACTCCTTATAACATTAGCTGTCTGCGAGTGAATGTCCTGTCAAAATGAGTCAGAACAGATAAACAATTAAAAAAAAACATTAAGTGCAGTACATGCTTTTTCATAAATATATTTTTATACCATATATTTCATATGCATTTAATGCAAAGCTGTTAATTTAATATTACAAACAGACACTTGAATTCAATTTATTTGTATAGATAGCACGAGGCGGCCGAATTACTTACTGTCTGTTGTTGATCCTTCACATAATATTTTCAAATTAAAATTACCTCGTAATAAGCTAGGAAGCCACCCTCCTTTGTGTATTCACCGGCTTTCCCTCCCCCGCTCGCCGGGGAATTCACTTTGAAGTTGTTGGGATTAGACAGGGTGAAGGTACGGCCGTATGTTGGCATGCCTGGAATAAATCAGTTTCTATTACTACCTTTATCTTATTATTTAGTATTTCTGTGATATATATGTTGAGAAATTCTTTATTCACCAATTCATATTATATCCCTAAAGAATTCACCAGCGTCATCTAGTCCCAAGTTAAGCAGACCTTGTGTTATGATACTAGCTGAGCAGTTTCACTCGCGTTAAATTTCAATAAAAAATATAGCCTATGTGTTATTCTGATGCATAAGCTATATTACTGTAAAGTTTCATCAAAATCCGTTCAGTAGTTTTTGCCTGACAGAGTAACAAACATCCATCCATACTCACAAACTTTCACGTTTATATTGACAAATTATTAACAAGCCCATAACAATTCATACAGCGCCATCTAGTACCAAGCTAAGCAGAGCTTGTGTTATGGTAATGTATATAATTCGCAAAGATTCTAACTAAATTTCGTAATCACACTACCCGCCAGAAACAAAAATATCATTCTGATCATCCGAATGAATGGCGTTCTTTCACCGTGCGGTTTTTCAGAAACTTCTCGTCACGCACAATCACATCGTCCCTTCCAGCAATGATATTTCAGAACCGATACGATATTGAAACTTTTAAGGAAATAACTTATTCCTTTTTAAAAGGCCGGCAACGTACATGCAGTACTCGTAATGTTACGGGTTATCATGGGCGGCAATAATCATTTCCATCAGGTGAACCGTACCTATAAAAAAGACTGACCTCACTTCATCTTCCACTCATATGATAACGTTGCAGTCATACTCGTGAACGAAATCTGCTTTATTCAAATAAACTTAAATTTAAGCACTTGTGAATAGTCATATTTTCTATTCTACCACTCATTCGGAATGCAGATTCAGCACAAGAAGAATTTTGCAAGAAAATTGTGTGTTGCTCTTTGGAATGGGTGTTTTTTATATAAATAACTACACAATAACAAGTAAGAGGCATGCGATAACAACATAATAATAGTGCGACCGCATTATTTCATTGTTATTAAAAAAAAGTGACGTAATAACCTACCAATAATAAGTTTCTCTTTGGGAGCGCCAAGTTTCACCCACAAATGTGCAGCATGGTCGACGGAGAGTTGTTTTCTCCACTCGGAGTCCGAGGAGGGTGCGTACAGGGGTGCATTGTGGCCGGTCTCCCTCTCCCATTTGCCATGGAAATCGTAGGCCATGAGGTTGATAAAGTCCAGGTAACTAGGAAAAGAAAATATATTACAATATTAGATCCTCTGTCAAAGAAATAAGTATCTCTATCGCTAATCAGCTTGCTTTATAGGCTATGGATACACAGTGGATGTGTGGATAGTTATAAAATATATCTTTTTATATGTATTTATCTATAGTTATATAATTATATTTACATTTGCACACATTGTACGTCGTACTGATATTATGAACGCGAATTGCTGACGTCCCGATTCAATACAAACTTCTCTAGAGTTCCGGTATTTACTATATAAACAACACGATGTAATGTTATTTCTGAGGACAATGATTGTGAAACTTATGAACCAGTAATTAGTAATTTAATTGTCTTATTTATCACTGTTCAATCGAAACATACTGCTATATGATTAACTAGCTTTTGTCCGCGGTTTCGCTCGCGTTATTTTATCACCTTAGCGGTGGAATTTATCAAAATCCTTCACATCATAGTAGCTTTATGCATGCAAAGTTTCAGCCCGATCGGTTTAAAATTGGCAAAGTTTCATACAAACTTTCATCCCCTATTTTATCCCCTTGGGGGTAGATTTAATCAAAATCCTTTCTTAGCGGATGCCTACGTCATAACATCTACCTCCATGCCAAATTTCAGCCCGATCCGTCCAGTGGTTTGGGCTATGCGTTGATAGATCACACCATAACGGGGCGTTGCGCCACGATTTGACAGCTTCAAAACTTTTCCACATCATGTTATTGATGGGAACAGAACCTCACCCTATTACGCGCAAACATAAACTTCCCAACTAAAACTAAATTGCGTAAAAACTGCCTACACGCGTAATCCTTTGTTGTTTCGTGTGCAAGGAGAAATTATCGTTGCGTGAAAACACTTTCAACAATTCCACACATTGTATTATTACATTTTGACTCTACATATTGTGAACATAAAGTTCAATTTGTTAGAACAACTTTTGCGTAGTTCTCGCTGTAAAAAGGCAACTAAATAAGTACATAGAAGTGGGGAATTTTTGTGCTAAAACTATTTTGTTGAAACAATAAACGTAAGTGGCAGCATTAGGTCTTTTATTAGGTCGTGTGCGACATTTGCAGCTTTATTACTAGTGCTTATAACACTCTAAACCTATGATTTATCAAAATGACTTTTATTACATTCATAATGACATGAAATAATAACCCTAAATATCCTATAGCGTTGGTAAAACTGAAAACCTAAAAACCAGCGCTGGACTCCCATAAGTCCAGCAATAGCTGGACTTAGTTCACTGAGTTTGTGTATTGGTATCATTATTATTGGTAATAAATAGAATATATATATATATATATTTTGTATATCTCCGTAACTGACTAAATAAAATTTTTTTTATGTAAATACATAAATAATATACATAGAAAATACCCAGACCGATATAAGCCAACATACTCAAGAATACAAATGTTTGTACCGTGCGAGGAATCGAACCCGCTACCAGCAGAAGAAAAGCAGTGTCCTATAACGCTAAACTACCGAGGTCATCAAGAGAGGTAAAGTTAATATAGTCGAGATGTTTATATGTTTAATGCAAAATGGATTATTTAATTCTTAACTAATTATATCATTGACATAACTTAGTTGTACAAGTATAACCTAAAATTAAATAGCTTAAAAAATATAATACAATAACTAAATTATATTAGTAAAAGGGGTCCCTTTAGGCAATGTTTATATTATGATATATATTCTAAATATATATTAGAGTGACTGGAATAAAAGGCTTGAATATTAATGATAAAAATTTCGTAACATGGTCGTAAGACAACATTTCTGTCGCGCTAAATTTTTTATCGGGGTCAGTATTTAAATACAAATGGATCAGTACAATTGTAGGTTGAATTATTATGTCAGTCATATATGGAATCTATAGAAATATGAATTAGCTATTTATTTTTATGATGTATCTAGGAACAAGACTATAATCTTTATCTATACATACAAACGTGGAGTGTCTGTTTGTAATATTGAAATAACCGTTTTTTATTACATACATATGATTACAAATACGGTACATACCAAAATAAAATTTTTACAACTTTTGTCTATATGTCTGTCTTTTTGTTCCGGCTAATCTCTGAAATGGCTAGACCGATTTTGACGGGACGTTTTTCGGCAGGTAGCTGATGTAATAAGGAGTAACTTAGGCTACTTTTATTTTAGAAAAATTCCCTAATTGACTTTTTTGTTAAATTCCACGCGGACGAAGTCGCAAGTACAAGTAGTATATAATGAATATCCCTAATAATTATTACATCGACCCTTCCTTTAAAACCAACCTACTTTCGGACTGTTAATCTGATTCCGCGCATTTCTCAAAACTCTCAGATTTCAACCGCATTTATTCTATTTACATTTCATTACTTTCGCCAAAGATTCCTAAGATTCTTTGCGGTATTGCGGTTCGATTTCAACCTGATTTATCTACAACTACATAGTTGTCAATAAATACTTTGCGTATTATTGTCGTTGTGTAAGTGTCGTTATGGCGTGGTTTCAAATAATAATAATAATAAATAATCAATGACAATTTACACAGCGCCATCTAGTTTCTAGCTAAGCAGAGCGTGTGTTATGGGTACTGGTCGAAAGTATTAAGTACCCGGTACCCGGTTCCCGCAACTTCGTCCGCGTGGAATATAACTGTAATTTTATAAAATAATAGAAGCCTAATTTACTCCTTATTACACCAGATACCTGCTGTCAGAATTGGTCTAGCCATTTCAGACAAATATAGTAAAAACATATATTTTGGTGTATGTACCGTATTTATATTCATAAGCATATAGTAATAAAACTGTTATTTCAATATTATAAATAGACACTCCAATTTTATTTACATATATGTATACATTTTGACGGCCTCGATGGTTTAGCGGTTTATCACACCGCTATATGTGTTTACGATGGTCACAAGTTCGATTTCTCGAAAAATGTAAACATATAGATGCATGAGTATTTAGTACATTTTGTTTTGTTCTTTTAATATAAATAATAAAAATCCTGAACAACCAACAGCTCTGCTATTATTCATTATATTATATTAAACTAATAATTACTGCAAGAAATTAATTATATAAAAAAAACTACAAATATATAACAACAAAGACGGATCTAATGAAATAATTAACAAGACTTAATTAAGTTTACCAAAATGTGAATTCAGTGGATACAAACAATTATATATATATATAACAATAGACCTGATTCTGTATTAAAAGCCATTTGAACGCGTATAATCATATTCGACACGAACAAACAAGCTATTATATTTTATGATGACTTTATTATTCAATATACTGTAGTGAGAATTTTAGTTAGTTAGTACATATCGCTGTTGCTGTCTGTCCGTCATTATGTATGCTTAAATCTTTAAAACTACGCAACGGCTTTTGAAGCGGTTTTTTAATAGATAGATTGATTCAAGAGGAATGTTTATATATATATATATATACATGTATACTGGGGCGAAGCCCGGGCGAGCAGCTATTATACATATAATAAATAATCCTTACATAAATAAATCAATATTTACACATATGTACATGATATTTATAAATATAACTACATATGTATAGATACCAATACATACATAATATTTTTTAAATTGGAACCAGTAGTTCCTGAGATTAGCGCGATCAAACAAACAAACAAACTCTGCTGCTTTATAAAATTAGTATAGATACTGATTACGCTTGAAGAAATCCCCCTGAAACATTACTATCCATTACCAGTTTAATAGAAGAATTATCTCTAACATACCTGGCGACAGCTGGCACGTCATAACCACTCTTGATATTGTCAGGACCAACAGGTACAGCAGCTGTCAGCAGCAGGCGAGGTTTCTTCACTTCTTGAGCTTCAGCCTCGAAAGCCTCACGAAGTTCTACGAAAGAAAAATATTGTTGATAAAATACGGTTGTTTACAGTGAACAAGAAACTTGCTACCGTTTAATGGGTCCATAGTAACAGACGATCATTCTGTCTGTACGTTTATTACCTTTTCGTGAGTGAAGGGATCTTCAAGTAATTTAACAAGAAAATAGTCTATATTACAGGGCGCACATATGCTATAGTTTATATAAATAAAACAGACGCAGTCGCGGGTAATGAAGTAACTACAAATATTAAAAAGATCTGAACAACCGTGCGAAGACGGGGCGGTCCATTAGTATGATAAATACCTGCCCTAGATACTTCACACAGCGCCAAGCTAAGAAGAACTTGTGTTATGGCAAAGACTAGACTAGACAACTGATAGAAATACATTTTTTTTGCATATACATAATATACATAGAAAACACCCAGACCGATACAAACAATCATACACATGAATACATATGGGCCGTACGAGGAATTGAACCCGGGACCATCAAAAGCAAAGCGCTAAACCGCTAGACCACCGAGGTCTACAATATGTTATAAAATAATTAACAAATTGTTATAGATATTTTATTTTAATGAAATTTATAGCCTATATGTTGTTCTGATGTACAAGCTATATTACTGTAAAGTTTCATCAAAATCCCTCCAGTAGTTTTTGAGTGAAAGAGTAACAAACATCTATACATACTCACAAACTTTCGTGTTCATAATATTAAAAAGATATTAGGAATAAAAGTCCCTTTATGCCTTAATAATCAGGTATGAAAGCTACACCTAACAACTGACCTACTGGCATTTAAAACGCATAAAGTAGTCAAACCAAAAATGATCAATTACCCGCATTACTGTAATTCTCGTCATATTAAACACGGATCATCTTTCGCAGCTAATGTGAATATAATAATTTGTGAAACCGAGTTATTTCTAGGTACAGACAGAGGAATTTTAGAAAGGCGATTTCAATCATGCAGTTTCTGTAGCAAGGACAACTCATCGTACAATATAATCTATGTATATGTACATTCCTAAACAGTTATTTTATTAAGAACTAGCTGTGCCTGCGACTTCGTCCGGGGAAGTCTGAAGGGATGCTGAAAGTTTGTATGGAAGTATTGTCATTTTTAAAGCTAGAAGCTTGACACTTATTGTTTAGGCTATTGATTGAACATAAATTGAGGAAAGGGCTTGTAAGGGGTTGAAAGTGGAGATGAAGGGTTGTATAGAAGAACTCATGTTAAACCTAAAAGCTTGAAACTTGTTTTTTAGGCTGTTAATTAAATATAAACAAATATGACATTGATCTGAGACAAAGCTACGTCAAAAAAGGAAAAAATTGGAGTCGTGTCGTATCAACTATTAAAAAGATTGATCGAAGATCGTGTGAGGTGACGAGATATCCACCTGTCGGTAGAGAGTTCAGCTCTTAAATTATGAATGAATGAATGACATTGAAAGATTGTAAAAATGTTACTTTGTCTAAAGCGGTAAAATAAAATACTTGTAATTTTTGAAACTTTTTCTTCGCCTTTCTTGGCCTAGATTATTTTGTGTTTATTTGGTGATGGTCACTGTAAATCGCGGATGAAGTCATGGGAACAGAATACCATTTTAAGCAAGGATTGAATACATAATAATATCATCAAAGAATATAATACTCAAAGGGGCAAAGGATTCCAATCGTTCTCTTTGTAGAATTCAGATACATCTCGAGTACGTAACGAGATTGCATCATTTGCAGTATTAAACCCTTTTGAGGCTAACAAGATATCTGTGAATTAATATGAAGATAGCAACGTATAGGTAACTACTAGTTCTAAATCTTGTTTGTGGGTTTGATTTTTTATTTGCATGCACTTTAGAAATATTACTATTTCTTTCTAGTGTATAATATGTATCTATATATATATGTTTCTTTTATATCAAACATTAACACGTTTGATTAAATAGTGGAATTATAGGATGAGAGGTATTACATCTTAGTTCTGTGGAATAAAAAAGAAAGTATTTTTTTGACAATTCACATACCGCCATCTAGACTCAAGTTAAGCTGGATAAAGCTTGTGTTATGGATACTAGATAACTGAAATACATAGTTTTTTTTGTAATTCCATACATATTATATATAGTAAACACCCAGATCGATACAAACAATCATACTCATAAACATTTGTGCCGTGCGAGGAATTGAATCCGCGACCATCGGATTAGATGGTGCTGTTATCAAAGTAATCTATATGAAGTATTTATTATTATAATTAGGGGGGTTGGACTATTATCAGGTGCTAAGACCTGTAACCTGTATAGATCTATTGTGCTCGCCCTTATTTAAAATTCGCTACTTAGACCAATAAAGGACAAGAGTTGAAGGATATTCTTAGGATATTCAAAACGAAATATCTCCTTTGGAAAGTATACATTATATCCTGTGGAGATAAAAACCATCGCTCTTAAGAATATGAATGAAGTAAATCTTTGACAATAGAACCTTAAGAATGTTCAAACTTATAATTTAAATTAATTATGATCGAATTTCGACCTCTAGTAACTGTAAAACTGTAAAACTTTAGTCTACCACAAACATTATGACAAATCCCAACAAATGTGTTATTTGCGAGTTCAGTTTTAACATGAAACCTTCTTTAGGTATTACTAATCAAAGCTTACTAACGGAGATGTCAACCGAAAGCTCTACATACATACGAGTCTCTTTTAATCCACTTTTGTGGAGTTCCACAAATTCATGAATGAATATTCATTATATTATTCACACGTATATTTTAATCTAGGCATAAAAGTTTTAAGTTCATTATTACATTTACGTACTCCATATTAATATTATACATGCGAATGTTTGTCTGTATCTTTGTTACGTTTTTATTGACTTGATTGGGCTCGATGGTCTAGTGCAGTGATTCCCAAAGTGGTCTATATCGACCCCCAGGGATCTATGACAAACTGCAAGGAGTCTACGACAGCAGTCATCTTATTGTTTTTACTTTATATTTTTAACACTAAACTTTACTACAGTTAGAAATTTATAAAGAATCAAAAGGTAAGAATGGGGGGTCTACCTAAAACCGAAAAATATGGCAAGGGGTCTACGACTCAAAAACGTTTGGGAATCTTTGGTCTAGTGGTTCAGCACACCGCTTTACTTCCCATGGTCGCGGGTTCGATTCCTCGCATGGTATAGACATTTGTATTCATGAGTACGATTGTTTATCGGTCTGGGTGTTTAATGTATGCATTTACAAAAAATAAAGTATGTATGTATTAATATCAGTTGTCTAGTACCCATAACACAAGCTCTGCTTACCGTGGGATTAGGCCACGCTGTATTAATTGTTCAGGATTATTTATTTACTAATTGTGCCCACTGTTTCACCCACGTCAAATATATAGCCTACATGTTATTCTGATGTATAAGCTATATTATTGTGAAGTTTCATCAAAATCGGTTCAGTAGTTTTTACGTGAAAGAGTAACAAACATCCATCCATACTCACAAACTTTCGCATTTAAAATATTAATAAGACGTTTATTATACCAGTTAACTATCTATGTAATGCCTAGAATTATATAATAATAAACATAATATTTCCCACTATATTCGTCATTACGGTAAACGTTGTTTTAAATCATGATAAACACGTACCAAACGGTATCAATTTAGGTGAGAATTGACCTGGAGAATTTCTGGCATGGTGCCACAACGGAACAAAATAGCTACAGCGTTGACTCCTCTCCCGTAGGTATACCTTATCTTTTAAGACACACTAAACTTTTAGAATTGCAAACTCGTATAGAGTTTATCGTGTGTGATACGATACGAGAATTTTAAACTGTATCGGTAGACTCAGAATTTCGCTGGATATTTTAAAAGAGAAATGTACTTGAAAATTTTATGGAGCTATTGAATTTATGTTAACAGATATTAAAGATGTAATAATTGGTATCATTTTTTTCGGACTACTCTAATGCTGTTGGCCGCAGCTGGCCTTTACAGCTTCACCGGATGATAGGGGGCGAGTGCAGATGGCACTCCAAACCTGGAAGGACTTATGGAGCGGCTGAAGGCCAACTCCTGACGTATCCGTCTTTAGTCTGAGGGCACCACTAGGGGTTCGAACCTCGTCTTAGGCCGTCGTAACATCGATCGCCAGTGTGAAGCGCCCGGGCGCGCCTAGACGCCCGGTTGAATGCGCGATATGAGGTGTATGAGGTCGTCGTCTTAGCCGGCGAGGATGGTGTCGTGTGTGTGTGAAAAAGTATGGTCGGGTTGGAACGGGTGGGCTCGTGGGGAGGTTGACTACCATTATGGGGTCGTCGGGATCAATGAGAACGTGCCTCGGGAGACATTGTCGCGAATGTCAATTAGTATCATTGCTAATAGCTGCCTATATACGTATATTGAAGTAAAAAGTAAGCAAGAAAAACTGTGCATGTATATGTAAACAAAGATTTATTTTTCGGACTACTCTAATGCTGTTGGCCGCAGCTGGCCTTCACTGCTTCACCGGACGATAGGGGGCGACTGCAGATGGCTCTCCAAACGACTTATGGAGCGGCTGAACGGACTGCCTGACGGATACGACTTTAGTCTGAGGGCACTGCCAGGGGTTCGAACATCGGCTCAGGCCGTCGTAATTTCGACACCCGTTTCAATTGGACAGGGCGATCAGAGCGGTGTAAACAAAGAGAACGAGACAGATCGCGCGAGCCTCAACTTCTCGCGCATATCCTAATTATATAAAAAAATAAAGAATCAAATCAAATCAAAAATCCTTATTCATGTATGGCAATGCCCTAGCAGCTTATGAACGTTCATTTTTTTTATTAATATATATTCCCTACAGTCCAGTTTAGTATACATACTCAATTGAGAAGAACTGGCAAGAAACTCAACAGATTTTTTTAAAGCCAGTTTTAAGCAGAATTAATGAATTATGTAAACAGGCTGACTGCCAGCCGGATGGTAAATTACAAGTACCCTATAAACAT